GATCCTAAATCTGCAGAAAGCTTTCGGTCGAATACCGAGGCATAGAGTTTAGTGGATCACGAGAAAGCAGCTTCTGCCTTGAGAAAGATGTTAGTCTTACCAAACACACGCACAGGAGTGTGTAAACACACTTTGAAACACATGTGGCGAAACGGAAGTGCGAGTCCCTGTGCGAGTAACGGTGTAGAAAAGTTCAGCAGAAAGCCCATTACCGTTCTCGATGCCTGAAAATCAGCAGGATTCAGCGTGTACCGTCTTCTTGCATGTTCTACGCAGATGCGCGCAGAGAGGATGCAGAGGCGAAAATTGAGGCACGGAGGAAAACCATGGAGAAAAACGGCCATCCGCGCGGTAGAGGAAAAGCGAAATGCATGACGTGTCATTTCAGCGGGCTTTACAGAGAAAAACTCAGAAGCAACCAGTGAAATAAAGGAAGAACAAACTGCATGAAACCTAAGAATCAAAGTACCGTGGTTCTATCGTTCGAGACAACGAAGGAATGGACGATGAATTGAGGAATCGGAGAAGAAAGCGTGCTTCAAGCGAGGAAAGGTGAGCGGCGCAATTTGCCATAAGGAGATGCCCAACAAACCAGTCAATCATAGAACGAGCAACAGCTGAACGAGGATGCGCAGCGTAGGAGCGCGCATGCTCTGATGGATGTGTAGCATCAGCGAAAAGGGCCAGATGTGCAACACTGGCATTAGAGTTTCTTTAGGTGTATGACCAATTACAGAGCAGCTGATCGAAGGCGGGCTGCGCCAGTATGGCTATGGTGGAAACATCCTACGAGTACGGTCAAAACGTGAGTCAAGCGCCGCCATTGCCATTGACAGCAAAGAACCGACGGAAATACGTACCAACGTAAAGGTGGCATGGCATCATCACGTAATTTACGGTATGAAACTTCGAGGAGTGACAAAAGATTTGACCGAGGACAAACGAGTGAAGACGGTTCACAGTTGACCTGAATGGCGGACAGCTCTGTCGCAAACGGAACACGCTTGGAAAAAGAAGAGGAAGTGCCGAAAATTTCGAAAACTCTAAACTAGCTTGCTCCCGCTTCTGCAAAATGTGCATCTGATCAACGAAAGAGATGAAAAGTGCTCGCAAAGGGATGCAGATGCCCATCAGATCAGACCAGGATTCGCAGGTCTCAGGCCTTGATGGCATGATATGTGTGCTCGTCTTAGTGCCTGTTGTGGTAGTCCGCTCAGAAAGTGACCACTGTGACGTTAGTTCGTTTCCTGAATCATGGAAAGTAAGTGTTTGGTACACGACTTTCGAAGGTACAGCCTGAAGCGGTGTTGCGGTCAGGGGCACAGAGTGACGCCATTCGGCGCCTATCTACGAAGTTTCCGTAACGGGCCTGTACCAGTCATGAACATGAACAATCGCGGGTCATGGCTGAGGTGCAAACTGGAGACGGTAAAGTACTACTCAAATGCAAACTTATGACCAAGCCAAAAGTAGTACGGTTTTAAGCCGTTAATGTCAGTGAATTTCATACTCCTTTAAGAGCGAGTAATTATTTTTGTGACTCGGCATCTAATGATTATTCCATGAGCCCAAACGCCTAGACAAGCACATACTCAGACAAACGAAACCTATGAACTCACTGGCCGCATTCATTACCGCACTTTGACATCAGTCGGTCGGTCACTTTCTGAAATGCTGCCTGGAATTATTCTATAAGAAAGCAACGCATTATCGATTTGACAAATTAATTGACTAATCTTGAACCGTGACATAATATCATTAACGCTCGTACGTGATTGTTCAATTTCAGTCATTAGCATGCCTTCGATTCCAGCATCAATTTACAAAGTTAACAAACCACCCCTAGCTGAATCAATTAGAAGAACGTGCAAGCTCAAATCACTGCCGTCACTCACCGGTTACTAACCCAGCTCTGTCCGAATCCCCATCTGCCACTTAGGACTCAGAGTTCCTACGGTGGGACGGTAACACACTTCGAGGTGGCATAGGCGGCAGTCGGGCCGTACTCAAAAGCACTCATTCTTCAACTTCACACACACACACACACACCCACCCACACTTCAGCGGTAGTCTTTGCTTGGTCTCGTTGTTCAGGGCTAAATGCTTTTGAACAGAAAATACGAAGTAACAGCCAAACACGCTGGCATGCCTCTGACCGATATCGTCTTGCACGCGGTAAATATATAAGTTAATGTTTCATTTCCTCAAGTAATAGTGAAAAACGTACTTCCACTACCAACACGCAAAATCACCTCTTTGTCTGTCAATTACTGTAGCGCCAGGTTGACTGCGATACGTAGCATATTTGCATGTATCGATAGAACTGAACACAAGTTCTGCGACACCCGTTAGCATGAACGTTCGAAATGCCGATTCAGTTCATACAGTCTACATCGGAACTGTAGGCATTCTTATGCCGCAACCTCACCATTAACCAGCTGGAGCTCGGAAGAGAGTTCCTTATCTGTGATTTATCTCTGATATGGCAGTTTTTTTCTGTTACTCACACGGGAACAGGTTTACTCATTATGTGCCGTTATCGGCTTGTTTGTCCATGTCGTGT